TCCCTGCTATTTTGGAGAAACTTCCCTGATTGTGTTATTCAGAGTGAGCAGTGGAACAGAAACTTAAGTTGGTAAGAGCAGTTTTGTATTCCCCCACCTGAGCCTTCACAGGCAGTGCACCCCAAGGAGAATGTTTGAGAATGGGCTTGGGACAGGAGGCAAGAAGAGGGAGTGACAGTGATCCAAGATGTTGAGGTTCTGGACAAGAGAACAGGGCACCCTTTGACAGAAGTTAGAAACAAAGTTTGAAGAGGAGGTTTATTCTGGGGGTTGGATTTGAAGTTCAAGAGCTAAGAGGGACTTCTGGCTGTAGATGATGCTTATACATATAAGCATCATTATATATGCTTATACATAAACGATGCTTATAGTTTGGGAGTTTAAGGGGAGCTCCAGGATGGAAAGATAGAAAAGGCAGAGTTTTCAAGGAAGCTGGAGAAGTAGGGATCATTTATAGCATCCGAGGAAAACATTTAAAGAGAAATGAGGGGGAAATCTGATGGCAAAACCATGTAGGGTGCCAAGCTTTGAGAAGTATCCCTTGAGAAGGGCAGACATGGAGATAGAGAATAAACGATCAGAGGTAGAGGAACACTGATGTCCAATTTCAGAAACACCAGGAGAGGCATGATTTAAAGAGTAGGGGGTACTTGGTAAGCTGGGGGGACACGAAAGGAGAATCAAACCCCATTGCTGTTGACTAAACAAACTTGGATTTGGACAGAATTTTAGGCATTGTGACTAGCAGGTACCAACTGATTCATTACATAAGATGCAGAGCCACACCACCGTCTACAGCGTGCCCCATGCTCTGTTCTTAGAAGACTTGACATAAACCCATGGGGTTTTACATGAAGACTTTACCACCACAGAGGCTCTCCTTTTTCAACATGCCCTTACTCGAGGACTCACAGAAATCCAGGGTCTGGATCCATGCCACACATGGATGGGCATACTACCCACCCTGAGCATCCTGGGGCAGGATTCATGACAAAGCACCCAGTACAGAAAGAGAGGGAGCAGAGAGCCTCCTCCCTCTACCTGGACCTTCAGTCAAGGCCGATGACTCCCTGACTCCCCCTCTGCCAAGCCCCAGTGCAGAGTGGCATGTTCTGTAGAGCGTTGCTCTCTACTACGTGGCCCACATCAGTAGGAGGAGAATGCCCTCCCCAAGCCTCTGCCTGCTTGCTTTGAACAGAAGAGCGCGTTCTCTGGGGGGCAGTTAGGGATGGTTTCAGAAGACCTTAGCCCTTGCTGTAATTTGGACAAGCATGGCTCCTGAAAATGATGGTTTCATAGCAAGTGGGCATGCTTAGCATTCTGAGGCCCCCTGTTGCTGCCACGGAAAGCATGTGTGGAGGGCACAGAACTGTATCCACTGGGAATTATCACCTCAGAATGCGGTCTGGGGAGAAGGCTGTGGCCACAAGAAGACTAGAGCACCCTCATGAAAATGTGCGAGCCTTCTTCTGGGATAGAACCTTCCGTGGAAGTCAATGAATAAACATTCTGGCTCACCTTAGATGTCCCCCCCACCACGGGTCAGGAACCTTCCGCTCAGTAGGAACACAGTAGAATTCTCAACCCCAAGACTTGGGGGCTTTTCTGGGGCCTTTGCATAGCACACTGTACTTGCACAAGGAAACCCCTGGCCCTGCAGAGAGACTTGTGCTCGAGAATTGACATTGACAGGTGAGATGACACAGTTTCCAGAGCTTTTTTTTTTTTTTTTGTAAAGATAATGAGAAGTAAATGAAACAAGATTGAAATAATGAACATCCTAAAGCTTGGTGATGGACATGTGGAGTTTCACTATGTTTTCTCTTTACTTTTGTATGTGTGTGAGATTTCTGTAATAAAAAGTTTTGTAACAACTTGTTATCTTGATAAATAACATGGGTAAGTTATCGTACTTCTTTGTGCATTTCTTTGCATATTTATTTATTGATTGCTTACGTTTAGGTTTATTACTTAGTGCTTATTTACTCTCTCTCCTTTCTATACATATTCTTTGCCCGTATTTTAAAATCTGACAGCAGGTCCTTTATTTTGATTTGTAGGATGTTTTAAGAATAATAGGCCTTTTATTTAGTGCATTTAAATGTTCTTTATTGTTCTTTTCTAGTTTGCATTTTATCTTTATGATATTTTAGTATATATTTATTTTTAAGCGTTCAAATAGAGGTGCTAATCCATTTTTTTTCCTTCATGGGTTTTCTTTTTTCTTTCAGTGTCATTTTTAGATCATTTGCCTTTAAAATGTACTGCTTCTGATATGGCAACAAGATAAAATATTTTATTGGCCCAAAACAAAACAAAACAAAACAAAACAAAACTCTGCCTTCTAATGTCCTCATTGCTTCCTGGCTATTACCTTATCCTCTGGCTCCCACTCCCTTGGCATATCGTCCTGAGTGAGCTTCTTCCACCTGTTTGCTACAACCAGCAAGGGTGTTCTGCACCCCAGGCTGGGGGGGTCTCAATTGCTCCCCCCACCTGCACCTTCATGATGGGAGGGAGATAGCATGCACGCCAAGGCTGCCAGCACCCCTTCGTCCTCCCTCACCGTCCCTCTGCACCCGGCTCAGCAACCCCCACATTCCCCTGCCCCACGCTGACACCATCTGTCCCCACCCTGTTGGCCCTACCACAGGTTCTGGGATCCATGATTTCTTTAGTCAACAAGTAAGAAAGGCCTCTTAACGCACCACTCTGGTAAAATGGTGTCTCATCATAGTCCCCCCTCAGCAACCTATGGTGCTGTCCATTGCCTACAAAATATCGTCAGACGTCTGTGGAATGTCATGTCGAGTGCTTTCCCTTGCCCTGCTCTGCCTTCCAGCACATCCTGCAGGTTCCCTTGCCGGACACACCCTTTCAGAAGCCCTTCCATTGGGCATGGAGCCATCTGGAACTTCATCGTCTTGGAGTGAGTTCTCCAAACAGACCCACCTCACCTTCTTCACCTTTCAGAACCTTCTGCTCTCAGAAGGTTCAGATCCTGTGATGTCTCCACCGCCACATCCCTCCAGTGCCCTGCATCAGAATCCATCCCTGCTCTCTCCAGGATCCCGCTCAATGTCACCTGCCCCCCTGCCTGACCTGTAACTCATTCCACTCTAGGTTCTGGCTAAGGGCTGCTCCTTTATTCTTCATGGCATTTCCCAGTGCCTTATTCAGAGGGGGACCGTAAATAATTCTTAACTTTATTTAATTGACACTATATAAAGCACAATATGCTATTGATTTGGCTGAGTTTGTATCCTCAGTGAGCTGAGTTTCTGCTCTTATTCAGGGAGCAAACTTCTGATTTATAACTCAGTTTTAAAAAAAAAAAAAGTGGACCGCAATGTTCTTCCCCTTCCTCAGATTCCTGGTCTTCGCAAGATGTCCATGAAGTGGATTCTCTAGACATGGACGTTTGTCTTGCTCGTTGGTCAGCACTTTGTTCCTGCCACCAACGCCCACACTTTTGGCACTCCTCTTCCCTGTGAATCCCAGACTCTCCGCTGCACCGTGCAGTCTGGACACACATTTTACTGCTGACTCCCTGCTTATCTGGTTGCCTGGAATTCCAGCTTGTGACCGAGCTCAGATTTCCGTCGTCCCCTCCACCTGGTTTAGATTCCAGACCTCTCTACCCCTGTTTGATTGGCGCCTGTCCCACACCTGCTACACCAGTCCCTAGCCAACCTCAGACGTTGCTGTTGCTTCTGGCCAGGACCCGTCTTCCCTTGTGGCACCCCCTGTAGTCCTGTCACTTTCCAGGTGGTGGCCCCAGTCTGCCCGGTCAGGATGAAACTAACCTCTCCGTGCCAAGGCATTTGTATATGGAACAAGAAGATTGATCAGGGGTCTTGTTGCGTGTTAATGGGGTCTTGTGGACTTCCCTGCGGAACTCACTCCTGTAATTGCAAAAGTGTGCAGTGATTTGCTAATGATCTTTAATTTAGGAAGCCTGTATATGTTTAATCAATTACACCATCCTGGTTAATTATGATTTTAGGTAAGAGCAGCAATCATTGAATAATTTAATGTCTCTGGATTGAGCTCATTCCATCAGGTGTCTTTTCTTTTTTCAGGTATTCATTTTTATTAGCAAGTCACTTGTGACGCTGTTTGATCTCTCTCTCCCCGGGGTGCGCAGTCAGGGATGATTTTTGCCTCCCGGGGTGGGGGCGCGTTTTTGGCTATCACAGCTGCTGAGGGTCTACTACCAGCTGGGGTAGAGACCAGGGATGCTGCCAAACACCCTACGCAGGGCAGCCCCACGACAGAGAGGGAGGCAGCCCAAAGTGTCCGCCGTGCAGAGGTCGGGAAACCCTGCTTCTGTCTTGAGGGATCGTCAGTAAAACCCTTTGGTGCCTCAAAGGTATTTTTGTATTATTTTGGTGGGGGATATAAATTTCCTCACACCCGTTGTTTATCTTCCGGGGTTGGTTAGGAATTGGTCTGCTGTGAATACACAGGGGTCCTGACCTCTTCTGCATGGAACTCCACCCAGTCTCTACCTTCCCTCGGTGTGTGCAGTGAGCACGAGTCAAGAGAGTTCATGCAGCGTCTTATCTGTCCTGAATCCCCCTCTGCCTCCCTGCAACCCCACAAATGAAACGCAAGCTTCCCTCTGTGGCACTGAAGGACCCCGTTCACTCTGTTGTCCACATGCTTCTCCCTCCACCATTGCTGCTTCACCGAACTATCTTCAGTCTCTAGAAGTTTCCCTCCCTCCCCCCTCCCAATACCTCTCTCCTCCCTGCGTGCCACCATGGAACATTTCTTCGTTACCACTTTATTGTTTTTCCAGCATATTTCCCCTTTTATTAAATGTAACTGCAACAGTAATTTGTGTTCCCATGGGAAATTTATTATTCAAGGAGCATGTACTGACTGTCCTTTCAATCCATGAACTATAACAGTTCACGTTTATTGCAACAGGTACATAGCTTGTCTTATTTGGGGTAAGGACACACTTAACTGCTTGTCGGTGTTGACCTCCGTAGGTTTACCTGAAGAAGATGGATTCTCCAGGTTGTCTGTGAGCAGCTCCACAACCTCCTCATTTCAGAAACAGAGAGAGAGCCACACCACTCAGGTAATGACCCCCACATCCTCACAGTTGTAACAGAAGCTGGAACTAAGGCGTGAGCAGACCCTCATGACGGTGTGACCAAGAACGTGCGTTCCCCCTGGACTAGCAAACACTGTTGTCCTCACTCCGGCCCTAAGTGTCTTCAGCTCAACATCCTTCTCTCTCCTCCTCTATCTCCCAGCTTTCTGCTGGTTAGAAAGAGAAGAAGAAGAAGAATGCCCAAAACAAAAAAAAAATAATGAATACTTTTAAGTTGAATATTGTAGACGTAATTTATGTTGTGGCATTTAAAAAATCACTGTCAAGTGAAGATGACATTACATCCCCGGAGTGATGTTAACACTTTCTCCGCATTTGACCTCAGCCCAAATAGGAGGACTCTGGGTGCCAACAGCGTGGGAGTAAAAGGCTTGAGGCACCTGTGGTTTTATGCCACTATATCTGTTTCTACCCCTAAAGTCCACATAACCCAGATGCATTTGTAATATGGTACATGGGGGCGCCTGGTAGAGCACGGGACTCTTGATCATGGGGTGGTGAGTTCAAGCCCCACTGTTGGGCATAGTGCTTACTTACAAAAGTAAGTAAATAAAAGAAAAGAAAATATAGCGAATGATGAGAACGCTATAAAATCCAAATGAGATTACAGTTCACAAAACTGTTTTTGACGTATTTCAGCGATTTTGTGTATCTGCTTAATGGGTTTGACCTTAAAAAATTCACCAAAGTAAAGATAATCACTTCAAGAAAATAAAACAAAAACACTAGGATTTTTAGAAAGGGAAAGGGTTTGTATCATATAATCTAGTGTTCTTTTTATGCTGAATTTTAAAATATGGTTTTAATCATTATCTTCAGAAAGATGAGTTTACAATCAAGGTGACGCAACCAAGAATATATCGAAGAGCTTGTTATCAATATAGTCAAAATTATTGCTTTAGCAACAGGATTCTTATTTTGCATGAAGCTATGGTACAACTTTCATGATGTCAAATATCTACTTAAAAATCTTTAAAAAGGGGTGCCTGGGTGGCTCAGGCAGTTAAGCGTCTACCTTCGGCTCAGGTCATGACCCCAGGGTCCTGGGATCGAATCCTGTCGGGCTCCCTGCTCAGTGGGGAGTCTGCTTCTCCCTCTGCTTCTGCCCCTCCCCCCTGCTTGTGCGCTCTCTCTCTCTGTCTCTCTCTTTGTCTCTCGCTGTCAAATAAATAAATAAAATCTTTTAAAAAATATTTTTTAAAACTTTGAGTATCCAGATGTTTCCATAAAATCAACAGTCCAGCCCGTGATGCACTTGCATCTGAATATTTGGCCATATATAGACAGGTCCATTGTTATCAGCTGAGATTTTTCTAAATAACACTGATGAGGGAGTGAGAAAAATCAGTAACATTAATGTTAAAAATAAATCTTACAATAGGCAGTCTGCTGAAATCACAATGAGATATAGGTACTGAAATAGGAAGAAAATACAGATTGGTTGCAGTAGCAGATAGTCCTAATTCTCCCCTCTGTTCCTTAGCAATGCATTTACTTTACTTTGTAAGCCTTACAGATGCTTTATCTAAGGTAATTCCCAGGGGGGACCCACTTGTAATGAACACTGGTTTGATTTTTATTATTATAAGACTGACTCCTGTACCTTAGAGCACAGAGGTCAGCCAGGAGATGCCCTTTCCAGGGCTCCCACAACAATGTGGTTCATAGAGAAAGGGTTGATTTTACAAGAAGGCGCATAAAGTGGGCATCTCTTTCGTGGATTTGGCTAAGAGGCGAAGAGAGATGGGAAAGATCTTCAGGAATAAGTTTCCATTTCTAGTTGTCAGTGCAGGTGTTCTGCTCAGGTGCAAATTCTCTGCCTTCAGTGACCTTGTGGTGCCTTTTTTCAAGGAAGCAGGGAACCAGGCTCATTTTCTTCCCTGCAAAAGTGCAGGCATCCTCATGGGAGGACACATTTCTCACTGTTGAAAAGCTCTAAGACTTCTGTCTTGTATGGCATTTGTAGAGGAAATATGGACACCTACAGACATATTGCCTTTGAGATTTTCTACTGATGCAACTAGATAAGAATTCTATAAAATCAGTCCTGGACTGATTGGATCTATAGCAGTAAAATGAAATGTTGACTACAAATTAAATTTCTTGTTGTGGAGGTCTGTAGTCTAATTAGCATCATCCATGGTTTTAGTGAAATCTCTTTAAGAAAGACAAAGTGTATGTGTATTATTGTAGACAGAGAAAACAGGAAATAGATTTGGTAATTTGCCAAAGATCATAAGGGAAATTCAGAGTGCATGCTTTGAATGGACGCCAAGATCGTAAGTCCTGTTTCTGAGAATGAACTTACCAAAACTCATTAAAAAGAATGGAGGAGTCATCTAACTTTTTCATAAAGTTTGAAGAATTGTTGGTCAAGACAAAAATCGAGGTAGCTGTGGTGGACATTTGTGGCTTAGCTTTTAAGCTGCCAGTTCCATGTTAAGTCTTCTCACGATGAAAACATAAGGGAAGAGACTCACCCTTTCTTCCGTCCTTTGGGAGCTCGACAAATACATGCGGGATGGGCTAGGTCAGCCCGTCAGCTGTGGATTATGGAGTGAGAGACATATGATGGAAGGGACGCGAAGAGCAGATGTCCCGAAGGGGGTGGCACGTGGCTGAGGTGTCCGCCTTCCATGGCAGTTGTTAGGCGGCGTATGACCACTGCCAGCCACTGAACCCACCTTGATCCCTGCCCCCTTGTCACGCTGTTCCTTCCCGCCTCATGCCTTTCTCTCACTTTCCAATAAGCGTTCCACCTGTTGAGATGTGCAGAGTTTTCGTTGCCTGCAAATAAGAATTTTGACCAACACTGATAGAGATGTAAAACACTTTCTGATGAGGGTCGCGCCTCAATCAATACTAGCTGTTCCTTTCCTCGAGGTGCAGCGTAGAGACAATGCCGTTTATGTCCTATGCCATCATACATTTTTTTACAAATTTGCAAAAACATAATGACTTTACATAAGAGCAGTAAAAGTAAATTTCATTTGAAATATTTGAAAATCGTGAAAGCTGGGACATCCACGCATCTTGAATGTGGCTGAGTTCCTGTATGCTCCTCCTAAGGAAGGCGCGGTAGGTCCTTGCTGTGAGCAGAGCAGCGTAGACATGACCTTGCAGGGCACCTGGGGCAGGTACACTGAGCAGTGAGTGTGTGATAATCAGGCGGTCCCACGTGCTGGCTCCTCCAGGGAAGCTTTGGGGGGCACTTCCCACCACTCAGCTCTGCAGTTTCCTAGGCTGTAAAAGCCACTTCAGGTTGGTTTTGAAATTAGACAGTATTTATAAAAATAATATGCCATTTATCCACTTGCTATTTTGTGAGATGTAAAATAACTTTTTTTAAAAAAGTGTGTGCCATTTGGCACGATGAGATCCCTCCGAAGTAACTCCACGGGAGGAGACTCATCAGGGAGTGAAATACGGAGAACACCTTCTAACCCAGAGTGACTTGGCTTTTTTTGCTGTGCTTACAATCCTCTGCTGACTCAGAAGACCGGGTAACCTGACACAGGATCCCCATGGATTATAAATAGAGCAAAATCGTGAACCATACAGCGGTGGGGGCCCAAAGGCAGGAGGGTCCAAAGAGGGGATGGATGAAATAAAATGCCTGGTTCTTGCCCTCAGCCTGAAATGGCGGGTTCTACATCGGCTTAGGGCTCTACGCTTGATATTGAAGAATGAGCCATTTTCGTTTTTTGTTTGAGCATACCTTATTTGTATTTACATACTCCTTTTCACTTTTGCAACTTCTACTTCACGCTGTTTTATTCCTCTCAGGTGTCTGTGCTCCACAGCGATATGTGGTTTATGAGCTTTGATTTTCATTGTGGGCATTTATCATATTCCTTGCCTAACTTTTTGTTATAATTTTTTAAAGAACATAAAACATTATTATTAATATCTGTCATATTCAAGTATTCATTGTCAGAAATCACTGATGGTCTCTGATAAAATAGTGGCAGTCCAGCACCTGGGAGCTTAATAAATATCCAGCCTGCTCCCAACACAGCCACTGAAGAAAGCCGTACCATAATCAATGTACAATTGATCCACAATCAAGAGACAAAGTGTTATGTGGTTTGTCTTACTGACCCATCAAAGAAACATTTCTGTAACGTCACATATCAGCAAAATGAAGTGTTGCAGGGATCTAAATAAAGCCAGCACCTTCCTAAAGTATGCATTGTATTTGTCACGTGGGCTGCCTGAAATATATCATGGCAGGGAAAAGAAACAGTGCGCTAGATAAAATAACAAATGCAGACACATTTAGTTCAATCATTAAGGGATAATTCTAAAGCACATGGTAGGAAATAGAAATTAGATAAACACTTCAAAAGGAAATATATATGTATTTCATTTATAAGCTACAAACGGAAGCCGATCTAGCGGAGAAAGCTTTCACGGAGCTGAGGTTTCGGGGAATCTGTATGCACCCCTCGTGACTTCCATATTACATGCAAGAAATGAAGGCAGTAAATTAATTTGATGGTATGAGGTGAATGGCAACGTTTTCAACAGAAAAGAGACAAATCCTGTATAGATATATAGAAACTTGGAAAATAAACAAAACCAGATCTTGTATTTTGTATTTTTCCTTCATAAAATTGTGCTGTACGTAGACCCGAAATGTATTCAAATGCATAGTGTTTTTCTAGTGAAGACTTTGACTATTATCAACGAGGAGATCATTCAGTCTTAAGAAATATTAGAAGAATGCGAAATACAAAGGTCTCGTGATATCTCTGCATGATCAGCTTCCAGATGGGAAAGCTGCAGTGAGCCCACACCGTTGCACAGGGGAGAGAGTGACGCAGTGGAGAAAACATGGTTGAGGACAAATTCCAGTTAACTTAAGAATTTCAAAAAAAAAAAAAAAAGAATTTCAATGTTCATTTCATTAACTAAGTTTAATTTTTAAAATTAAAGAAAAGAAAAGAAAAAACAAGAAGAAA